CGCTGGCTTCTCTCGCAGGAGCTCTCCGGGCCCGTCCGGCGGCCGGCCACTGCACCGGACCCTCCGGCACGCCGCCGAAAGGACAGCGGCTAGGCTACGGCATTGTTTGGCCTCAGCTGTCGTAAACCCATCACTTCGACACGTCCGCCGGCTATCCTCCTGACGTAGTACCGCACACTGCCACCCGCGCCACCAGGCGGCGACCTCCAGACTGACCGCGAGTTTTAAATGCGACAAAGTGACACCAAAAAAGGCTCTTCGTATTCGAACTCTCGTTTGAACAGTTTTTGTCGCAGGACAAAATTAACGATATCTGTGGGTAGGGGAAAGACGCCCGCAGGTGCAATAGTATATGAGAGGAGACAAAAGTCAAACCATCAGTCCTTTTTTTGAAAACGAAAAATATGCACTTTTTGAACGAGGTTTTGAACACTTTATTTGTTTTGGACAACGATAGGATTGGGCATTGCACCTCCGGGCATCCTTCCTCTATCACATGCCAACATAAAATTACGGATCCGAGCGATACGCTCTCGTGGAGAGTTCGACAAAAAGACCGTGTTTTAACAATTTTAACGTTAAATATCTCAGCTTGTATTTGAGCCAGCGAACCCAAATTTTATATTTAGAGTCAGGACGTGGTACAGAACGGCCACGTAAAATTTCATAAAAATCGGCCAACTTTTATTTACGAAAGGTCCCCCCTTAAGGTCTGATATTTAGAGGCTTTAAATATTCCACCTTTCCTCGAAACGCGTAAAGCGTAGTCCTTGATAGAGCGAAGGCACTAGAGGTGGCCCTGCTAGTGCAGCCCCATGTGCACCTTGAGGGCGCTGCGCTGCCGAAAGGTCTGGCCGCAGGTGGGGCAGCGGAAGGGCCGCTCGCCCGTGTGGATCCTCATGTGCGCCTCGAGCACAGTCTTCTGGGCGAACAGCCGGCTGCACTGGTGGCACTGAAAGGGCTTCTCGCCGGTGTGCGTGCGCAGGTGGATCACCAGGCCGTTCTTCTGCGTGAAGCGGCGCGGGCAGTGCGGGCAGCCGTAGGGCTTCTCGCCCGTGTGCAGGCGGTAGTGCACCAGCAGGTGCTGCTTGAGCTTGAAGCGCGCGGGGCACGCCGTGCACCGGAACGGGCGCTCGGGGTCCTGGTCCTCCTCGCTCTCGGGGTCTTCCCCTTGCTCGGGCTCGGGCTCGGGCTCGGGGCTCGTCTCCAGCTTGAGCTTGTGGTCCGGCTGGAGCTGCGGCAGCTGCGGCAGCTGCGACGTCGAGCACGGGTAGAGGGTCGAAGAGTCCAAGTCACCTGCTTGGGCAGAGAGCAGGCGGTCAGAGAGGTAACCAGTGCGCTGACCACAAACCTGTCATGCGGGGGAGAAGAAACGAAAGTCATTGCCAACTGAACACGGACAGAGGTGGCGCCAGTAAAAGTTACGCTGTAGAAAATGCAATAAAACGCATTTAATGGCTGATGTTTACAATGTAATGGAAGCCCAACACCTCTTCACTGGTATGTTGGAATACACGCGAATAATGATAAAATGTGTCACATACGTATATAAATGAAATAAATATAGTAACTACAGGAACATTAAAAGATGAGGCCCCGGCCGGGACCTCCAGCCTACATCTTGAGATTTATACAATAGCTATGAACATCATAATAAAAATACAAAAAAGGTAACATTCGTTTACAAAAACAGAAATTAAGTTAAATGAAACAATTGACAAGCGCGTAAAAATGGGATCCGTCACAGGCCCCACTTCCCGGCATGACCCGGTGGCCCTGGAAGCCCCTGAAGGCCAGATAGCCCAGGATGCCCCTGTGGCCCTAAATGCCCTAAAGCTCCAGAAGGTCCGGGGGTCCCCGAAGGCCCCTGAGTTGCCGAAGACCCTGGCGGCCCACCAGGCCCTGCCGGTTGGCTACAGTTCTCCTGGAGGAACTTCTGCAGCTCGTGGTCACGGCGATGCACCTGCGCGTGGTAGTCCTGGCTGCTGCGATGCCTGAACGTCTTGGGGCAGTGCGGGCACTTGTACGGCTTCTCGCCCGTATGCAGGCGGTAGTGCACGGCCAGGTGCTGCTTCATCTTGAACTTGGCCGGGCACACGTTGCACCACCAGCGCCGCTCCGGGTCGTCGGCACAGGTCGAGACGCTCCGGCTGTTGGAGCCGAGCATGGCGGCGGCCTCCGGTATCGCCCGGAACAGGTCGGAGCGCAGCATGACGCTGAGGTCCTTGGACAGGAAGGGCAGCGCGCCGCCCTGGCCCGACGCGGACCACGCACCTGCCGAGACAGAGGGGGCAACAGTTAGAGACGGAGAAAGGACACACTGACCTCACCTGTGTCTCAAAGCGACGAGTAGACGAAGGGGAAATAACAACCAGCCGTACTTTCAAAACAACAAAAAACACGTATATTTCCGACAGGTCCGTTCACAGCGCAGCTTCGGGGTGGACCTTCAACAAGTGGGCCCGGTGGTTGCTGCGGAAGCTGAAGCACTCGCCGCACAGGTGGCAGCTGTAGGGCTTCTCGCCGGTGTGGACGCGGAGGTGCTCGCGCAGCGTGCCGTGCCGCGCGAAGCTCTTGACGCACAGGTGGCACTGGAAGGGCTTCTCGCCCGTGTGCGTGCGCATGTGGGCCACCAGGCTGGCGGACTGGGAGAACTTCTTGCCGCACAGGGTGCACGACGTGCGCGCCGCCCTCTTCTGGCCGGCGGGCTGGTCGCAGTTGTGCGAGACGAGGCCGTCCTCCCCGTCCACCGCCGCGCCGCACAGCCCGCACTGGTACTCCATCTCAACACCTGCGGACAGAGACGGCAGCTTTAAAAGGTCAGAGAAACTCGAGAGGTCGGCGGAGGCGGCGGCGGGGCGGGGCGAGCTCGTGAAGCAGACAGAGATAAATACCGCTGGAAATATTTATTGGCGGAATTACAAAGTTATACAGTTATATAAAAGTAAATCAAAACACAGACACGATCTGATATTGGAATGTAAAACACACACGGCAGAACAACTACATTTCAGACTTAGTATGACGAGGAATACATTTACAATACAAAAACACGGCAGTCCTGGGTGTCTAGACACGCTCGCTCGCCCGAATAAGGAGAGCCTCTAGTAGGACTGGCGGTGGCCGGCCTCGCCGTCCTGGCGGTGGCGCCGCTCGTGCAGCAGCAGGTGGTCGCGGCGGCGGAAGCGCGCGGAGCAGTGCGGGCAGCCGTGCGGCAGCTCGCCCGTGTGCAGCAGCACGTGGCGCGACAGGTGCTCGGCGCGCTTGAAGCACGAGCCGCAGGTGGGGCACGCGTGCGGCCGGTCGGCCTGGCCGCCCAGGTGCGTGAGCTTGCGGTGCTTCTGCAGCGCGCGCCGCGACGTGAAGCCCTGCTCCCCGCACTCGGGGCACGAGAAGGGGCCCACGTCCACGCCCACGCCCAACTCCAGGTCCCACGACTTGAACTGGTTCGCGTGCAGCGGATCTGCGAAAGAGAAGAGAAAACGGGGAGGTTAGCAGTGCGTCAATAGGGGGAGAGGGTTGGGGTGGGGGGGACGGAGGTGTGCAGGAGCGTGAGTGAGTGTGTGTGAGCGAGAGCGATGGAAGGTGGTTGAGAAATAAGGTCCGGGAGCTCGTGGCGACTAGTTGTTTAATGATCAGTTTCGGCGGAGACATTGCCGTGCTTGAGCTTGACGTGCACCGCCAGCACGTCGCGGCGCCGGAAGCGCGCGGGGCAGTGCGCGCACAGGAAGGGCTGCTCGCCAGTGTGGCGCAGCATGTGGCGCGCGCGGTGCTGCGAGCGCTTGAAGGACACGCTGCAGTACGGGCACGGGTAGGGCCGCACACCGCCCTCCTCGCCGGCCTGCTCGCGCGCGTTCGGCGACCTGACCGGGACGGCCGCGGGCGGCGGCGGGCCGTCCGGCGCGTCGCCGCCCACCGGCCAGGCGACGTACAGGGGCAAGGGCCGAAGGTCTGTCGAGTCGAAACAGACAGAGCACCTCGGTTAGGACAATGCAACACGTCCAGGGAGGCGATGAGGCGATGTACCTCGGGGAGCAGCTGGTGAAGAGTCAACAGAGATCAGGTCGATTGTCTTGCCTTTTAATACAGGGAGGAAGTGGTACAAATTCGTAGCATCAGTCATCGTAAGAAATGAGCAGTTAAGACGGGAACTCACGAGAGTTGTCTTTTAACATGTTGACGTTGCCTACGGAAATATCCTCGAGATACATGAAAAACACTATCTAGAAGGAACTTGAGACTAGGCAGGAAACACTCATGTGGTTTGTAATAGAACGAAATCACCAAGTGTGTATGTTGCAGCATGTAAAAGGCAACAAACTTTCCAAAATAATCATCAAAAGCGAAAATATTTTAGGTGCCACAGGTAACAAACACACGAATATCAAATAGACGGCAATGGCACAACAAGAACAATTAGCAAAAAACCAACAAAGAAACAAACATATTAACTGATTACAAAATTAATCTTAGTCTTCCATATTGAGATCACTGACAAATGTCACGATAGTAACAGGTACCACGTCACTGGGAATTGACTTCCTATAAGAATTAGGAGAGAAGAAGAGAAGACGGACAGGACAGGCTGATTGGTTGGTTGGTTGGTTTACGTGGCGATGGCGTGCTTCTTCACGTGCTGGATCATGCAGTCCCGGCGGCGGAAGCGGCTCTGGCAGTAGGGGCAGGTGAACGGGGTCTCCCCCGTGTGTCGCAGCATGTGCCTGGCCAGGTGCTCGGAGCGCTTGAAGGCCGCGTCGCAGTGCGGGCACGAGTACGGCCGCCCGCCCTGGTGCTCCGTGCGCCGGTGCTGGGTGAGCAGTCGGAAGTTGGGGAAGTGCTGGGCGCAGTCTACGCACTGCAGCGAGGCCGGGGAACCTGCGGACAAGCGAAAACGATTAGTGAAAAGAGCCAAGGGGTTAGACGCTGCGTGTGTTGTGCGATAGGTTCGTCGAGAGGGTGGCGTGATTGAGGAGGAGCTGGCAACAAAAGACATCCTACGCTTATATTTCTAAAACATTTTATTTCTAAATCAAGAGCACATGCAAAGCAAAGATTTTTTTTATCAGTTTATCAGATTTGACCATCAACACCACAAAAAATACAGAAGCATTTTGAAAACGCACAACAATTTATGTTGATGCCATGGCTTACACTCAAATTGATAAAATTCCATATGGTCACTTCTGATGCACAATAAGTAGCCTCATTGAAAAATGTTTCTTACCCTTAAAAATATAGTAATAAGACAAAAGGAAGAAAAACTTTAGAACTAACATGTCATCTATGACACACTTAAATTGACAAGCACACTACCCTGACAAAAATGGGGACTTTGTCCTCTCCATATAGTCTCCTCACAGCCGTCATCTTATAGAACTCAACCCAAATAGAGTACTAGTAAAAGTAAACCAGAAACAAAAGAAACTGCACAGTGGAAATGAACCACAGAGCTGGACTGTATGGCTGTATTAAAATTCACTTCAGAGATAGGTGACTTTAAACATCAAGCTCTGTAGTCCATTTCCATTGTATGACTTGCAGCTCTAAAACGACAACGGCAAAAAAACGTCTTGAAACAAAACATACAAACACTCCATAAAGTTCATAGATTACAATTTGTACCACCTATACACAGGTTGACTCCTGAAAACATTGAATGAAAAAATGAGAAAAGGTTAACTAACACTTTGTCAAAGTTTCAACTCGGCGGCTGAAATAAATAAGGATCCTCCACCTGTGTACCAATGGCACAAATAATAAGAAACTTAATTTTAAAAAAGATCAAAAATTCAACTAAAACTACTAAATCTAATCTCACTAACATGTGAAAAATTGTAAAGCAAAGACTACTGGGAAAAACTAGATAAAAGCAAATTAAAAGCAAATTTGAACTGGTTCATGTCAATTCATCAAAGCAAAGGCACATCGTGTTCTTAAAATTTATCTGATCCAATATTAACCATCAATGCAGACAAAGTACTTCAAACCATTTTTAAAAACAAAATCGCATTTCTTTTTTCAATCTTGGTCCATGGCTTTTCTAACCTCCGACCCACCAAAGGTCCGAGGAGAGGCGAGCCATAAACTCCTACCCTCCCTTCATTCGGATCTACCGACGCCTACTTCTTCTTGTGGCTCTTCATGTGGCGGACGAGGTGCTCCTTGCTGATGAAGGTGTGGTTGCAGTAGCCACAGTTGAAGGCCCCGTCGCCCATGTGTCCGCGCAGGTGGTGCTCCAGGCCCAGCGCGGTGCCGAACTTGAGTGGGCAGCGGCCGCACTGGTACAGCGTCTTGTCGTTGTGGCTGCGCACGTGCTGCTCCAGCAGCGCCTTGGTGGGGAACGACTCGGAGCACTCCTCGCACCAGTAGTTCTTGGTCTTCTTGGCGTGGTGCGTGCGCACGTGCTCCTGCAGCTGGAACGTGTTCATGAAGGGGGCCCCGCAGTCGGAGCAGTTGATGTTGGAGGCGCGCTTGTGGGTGATGCGCTTGTGCTTGTCCAGCTGGCTCTCGGTCTTGAAGCGGATGGGGCACTCGTCGCAGGGGAAGGGCTTCTGGATGTCGTGGGTCTTCATGTGCGCGATGAGAGCGTTCTTCTGGGCGAAGCGCTGTCCGCAGTCCTCGCACTTGAAGGCGCCCTCAGTGTGCGTCTTCTCGTGCAGCTCGAGCTGGGCGCGCGTCACGAACTCGGCCTGGCAGAGCTTGCACTCGAAGCGCTCGGCGTGGGTGTGCAGGTGCTCCAGCAGGTGGTAGTTGGTGGCGAACACCTTGGGGCAGAACTCGCAGCGCAGGTGCTCGTCGTCGATGTCGTGCGTGGCCAGGTGAGTCTCCATCTCGAGCTTGGAGGCGAACATGAGGTCGCACTTCCTGCACTTGATCTCGCGAGGGTGGTGGCGCTGCACGTGCTCGGAGCGCTCCTTGCGCGTGTCGAACTGGGCGGGGCACTCGTCGCAAGGGAAGTCCTTGTCCTGGTGGTCCCTGGCGTGCACGAGCAGGTCAAAGGTGGACGTGAACTTCTCGTCGCAGTACTCGCACTCGTAGCCCTGGTCGCCGTTCTGTGCCTGCGGAGGCGGCGGCGGCGGCTCCTTCGGGTGGGTCGCCTTCTTGTGGCCACGGAGCTCCTCCTTGCTGTTGAAGCTCTCTGGGCACTCGGAGCACATGAACATGTTGATGGTCTTGTTGTGCGTGCGCACGTGGATCTTGAGGCCGTGCAGGGTGCCGAAGACGGACGTGCAGTAGGGGCACTTCTGGATGTGCCTCGGCATGTGCGCCTTGAGCTGAGTCGCCGTCGGGAACGTCTCGCCGCACTTGTCGCAGCGGAACACGCTGGCGGTGGTCGAGTGCACGAGCAAGTGGTGGCTGAGACGAGTGTCGGACACGAAGCTGGCCGTGCAGTGGGGGCAGCCGAACGGCTTGTTGGCCTTGTGGACCAGCTCGTGCTTCTTGAGGTGGTTGGGGCGCTTGAAGTGGGCGGGGCACTGCTTGCAGAAGAACTTGCGCTTGGAGCGGCGGACCTGGAACAGGCAAAGGGCACCGTGAGATACAGGCCGGGCCATGACTGGGCGCCTCGTCTGAGCGCTGCGCGTTGGCACGGTGAGCGAGGTCGTTAGTACCCTTCGTGGCTGGTCCACATGAGAGGTCTCACTTACTTTTTCCTCTTCCACGTTTGGTCCAAGGTCCCAACCGTGACTGAGCCAGTTCCGTACCTAAGATTACCAGCGCCAAAATTTTGAATTAATAAGTTGAAATTACTTCAACGCGGACACCGCAGATAGGGGCCGTTTACGAGGACCCAAGACCCCCCTAGTGCCCCCCTCCCCCTTCCTTTTGCCCGGTCTCAATCACACCCCTCTCCTAAGCTGCCATTTACCGCTGCGAAATTTAAAGTAACGGCCTCCTTCTCCATGTTGTACACACCTGCTCCTCGCCGTCGTTGCCTTCGTCGTTGCTGAGGTCCTGGTCGCCGAATATGTCGTCGTGGACTTGGTCATCGTTCTCCTCCGGGGGCGGCAGCGGCAGCCCGTTGTCCATGATCACCTCGTCCTTGGGCTCGGTCTTGATGGTGATGTCCGAGTGTACCTCGTCCTTGACGAAGCCCACGGAGCTGATGACGGGACCGGCCTCCACCTCCATCTTCATGTCATCGGCCGACTTCACAGTGACGGGGACCGGCAGCAGCTCGGCGAGCACCTTCACGTCCACCTCTGCAACCAAGCCAAACATGAGTGCAAAGACCAAACACCACACCACCGCTCCCCGGACAAAGCTACTGCAGCAGGCACCCCTCCACCCCAAGCCAAAGCTACGCATGCGAAACTAACAAGGACTGTTGGGAGAAAAACAGGGTCGATCGCTTGAAAAAACATCATTTATTTTTTAAGGTGCTAGAACCTGGAAATCACGAAAAAAATGAAAAGTTGATTTACAAAATGTACACTTTTGAAGACGGAAATCATTTATCCTCCTGCTCGCCCTGACTGCTCCAGGTGTCGGAGCTGGCCCCGGGGCTGTGGTGCACCCGGACGTGCCGCCGCTTGGAGGGCGAGTGTGTGAAGCGCTTGTCGCACTGCGGGCAGGCGAAGGGCTTCTCGCCCGTGTGCGAGCGCGCGTGCCGCCGCAGGGACAGCGCTCGCAGGAACGCGTCGCCGCACTCGCTGCAGCGGAAGGGGAGGCCGTGCTCCTGGTGGGCGCTGGCCGCGTGGCTGCGCACCAGCTCCCGGGTGGGGAAGCCCTGGCCGCAGCGCACGCAGCGGTAGGGCCAGTCGCCGCGGTGCAGCCGCGCGTGCGCCTGCAGCTGGTCGTTGCGGTTGAACGAGGCGCTGCAGCTGGCGCAGCGGTGGGCGCGCCGGCCCAGGTGGCACCGCAGGTGGCGGGTGCGGTGCTCCACGCGCCAGAAGGCGGCCGGGCAGAGCGGGCAGCGGCTGGTCGGCGCGCCCTCCTCCCCAGAAGAGCAGCCCTCGACGTCCACCTCGCCGTCGTCGTCGTCCCCGGGCGTGGGCGTGCTCAGGACGCGCCGGACGTGCGGAGGCCGCGGGGCCGGCAGCTCTGGGGGCGCCGGGCTGCCGCCGTCCACGTCCACCTCATCCTCGGCCTGCACAACAGTGGTCGGAGTCGTCTGCACATCGTCCTCGTCACCCTGCTGTCCAGCATGTTCAGTCTCTTCTTCCTCCCCTGCGGCCTCGTGCAGTTTGGACTTGCCCTCCGCACGGAGCGCCTCTTTTCCAGCACAACCGCTTTCATCTCTCGTTTCCGGCTCTTCTATCACGATGATCTCCGGCGTGTCTTCAGTGTGACCCACGTCTATCTCGCTATCGGACACACTGCAGTCAGAGTCATCTGGAAAAGAATAGCTTAATTAGAGAGATGAACCAATGAAAAAAGAATGGAATCAAACACGTCAACATTTTCAAATGATAAATCCATTGAGTCACACGCATCAATATTTATTAATATCATTGCACAACACAGCACACGCAGAAAACAAGTCCCCATGTACGTCTAACAGAAAACGGGGGAAATCACAGATCACATGCAAGCAAAGAGAACCCCTTGGAAACAGCTGAAACTCTCAAATCGTGTCGGTTGTCGAAACACCGTGGGCCTTCCGCATGTGCATGTACAGGTTTTTGCGGTAGCGGTACACGCCGGGGCAGATGGTGCACGAGTAGGGCAGCTGGATGTTGTGGGTGAGCTTGAGGTGGCGGTCCAGGCCCACCTTGAAGCGGAAGGTCTGCGGACACCGCGGGCAGAGGAACGTCGGCGGGACGGCGACGGCCTCGACGCCGGCCAGCTCGGGGCCAAGGCTCCAGGCCTGCAACCTCCGCAGGCGGACGCGCGAGCTGGACGAGAAGCCTGCAGAGACACACGGAAGGGTTTAGAGCACGGCGAGGAGCGGGTATGCTGCGAGGGGTTGCGCGACCGCGGTGGCAGGTCAGGGTCTGCCAGAGGCAGCCGGGCAGACACGGTGAGGTGCTGCCGGGTAAGGTGTAATAGAGGTAATGTTACACCTTACTGCCAGGCCAAGTGCTGCGCGACAGTGGGGGGAGGTCAGAGTCAGGGTGTCCGCCACCGCCACACAGGCGCGCGCCCCTGGACGCGGGCCGCACCGCCACACGGCCGTGCGCCGCGCTGCCTACCCGGCCGACCACAGGCGCCCCGGCCGACGGGCAACGTGCCGTCAAAACAGAAAAAGGAAACGCAGAGTTTTCCCCACAAACATAAAATTTTAATTGCAACGCCACCAAGGATTGTATCCATCGTGATAAACATTTGTTATAAAAAAATTAACCTAAAATTACACTAGTAAGGCAGATTTATAAAAAGCACATTGATAAGGAGAGAAGCGAGTTGTCGTAAACATAAAGAAGAGTCAGAGATTCGTAAAACCAGAGGCGAGGCCGCCGAGCTCGAGGGCGGTGCTGGAGCTGTCGCTCGCTGTCGCTACACGCTGTCGGCGCTGTGCACGTGCTGCATGTGGCGGCGCAGGTTGAAGGGCGACGACAGGCGCGCGGGGCACAGCGCGCACGAGTGGGGCGACTCGCGCGCGTGCGTGCGCGCGTGCACCGTCAGGTGGGCGGCCTGCGTGAAGCGCGCGCCGCACTGGTCGCAGGGGAAGGGGCGCTCGTTGGTGTGCGAGCGGCGGTGGCGCGCCAGCATGGACTGGTAGCGGAACACGGCCGGGCAGTCCTCGCAGCTGAAGTCGGCGCGGGCGGCGTGCGCGGCGCGCCGGTGCGCCAGCATCTCCCGTCGCGTGGGGAAGGCGAGCGCACACAGCTTGCAGCACACGGCGGGGCCGGCGGAGCCTGAGGAGCGACCTGCAACAGGGCGGGGGCGTTAGCGGCGCTAGCAGAGCCGGTGGGG